GTTTGGACCCACCCTATCAGACTCCCTGGGGCCACCTATGAACGAATATAAAGGGTAAGCATTTAAATAATTTCACAGTTATAGAAAAAAAACTAAAAGTGACTAAAAATATTAACATGTTTCCCATACCACGATCCAAAAATTGGTATTTTAAAGCAAAATTTCACTAATTCGTTTTTTTGTTTTTTTGTTTTTGTTTTTTTTTTTGTTCGGTTAACTCGAAAGTAAAGACAAAAAGATTGACTTGGTAGACTTGAAACAGTAAGTTTATTATTCACATGAATATTTCGGCCTGTCCTCAGGCCTTCTTCGGCCGCGGCATGAGTGACAAACATTATGTAAGTTGGCTGTTACAGAAATCTCAATATAACAAAACGAATACATTGATTGGTTTAAAATTCTAACAAAGTGTAATGCCTGTCTCTTATACACATCTAGATGTGTATAAGAGGCCTATATAGGCCTATACTTTCTAATCAATATTTATGATACAACATTAATATATTAGTCGATTATCAACTCTAAATAGGCATACGGCTGATAATTAATATTTATCGGCTCTATAATTTGTTCATTGTAACCGTTCCTACTCCATCTATGGTCATACAGGAAACCAAATTCTATTGCAACTCTAAAATGCTAGAAACCAAATTCTACTCCAACTCTAAGTACTGCTAGGAAGCTTTAGTGGGAATAACTTTTTATCAAAGGGGGTTGCAAACTAGATTAACAGATTATAATTCTTTGGTTCAGTCTGATGTGAATAATGACATTTTACTTCATATATAAAACTTACGGTATAACTATTTTGTATTTAAAAAAAATCATCATAGATTTTATTGTAATTCTACAGCAGTGTCTTAATTACTGAAAACTATTTCACTTTGTTTAATTGATTGAATTTTTTTTAATGTAAATCTGTCTGTAACTTTATAGGCCTATATTTATATATTATTTTATTTCTTCAATATTGGCAATGTTAAAATGTTATGTTGAATTAAAATATAAAACTAAAATAAATTATAAAGTAATATAAAATGAATGAAACATATTTCAAGCTGGCGGCTGGCAATAGACCTTTCCGGAGTGTCAATCAAACTTCACAACTGACTAATCAGAACAGCGCTAGGGATACGCGTGCGTCTCACAAACACACGTGTTGTCCCACAAACGCACGTGTTCGCATATGTTTTAACATTGTCGTCTTGTGGGACCTTAGCAACAGTATCCAAGGGGCGGGGCTTAGCGGAAAGGTCCATTAATATTTTTTTACTGTTTCCATCTGTCAGTATTGATGCGTTAGCTCCTTAAGACATCACAAATTACGCCATTGCCATTGGCTGCTGAGCATGTCGTCACGGGGAGTTCCCCATCGGACCAGGAAGCAGTCATTAATTACTTGATTACTCCTGGTTCAGACAGGGAGAAACCTTAAATCTTAGGCAACACTTCATGTTGTCGGTCTGAAAAATCCAACCAAAGTATGTTATTGCACTTCCTAATATTGTAGTATAATAAATGCACTCTTGTTACCACCCTAAAACCATAAAGTTTTTTCTGCGTTATCTTGGTTTTGACACTCATATTTTCTCTCCATCCTTGGGCCCTCTGTCGGCAAATCCCTTGAGCCACCATTGGCCACGATAGTCCCGAAACATTCAGCAAATTAACGAGACGAAGTAGATCGCCGCAAATGCATACGTTACGCAGTTATGGATGGGTGTCAAACACTGGCTTGCACTTGGTTCCTTACAAACGAAACTCGGATCAGGCTCAACTAAAAGGAAAAATAACAGAGTGCAGATTAGTTATATATTATCACAATAATATGGCAGAGGGAGAACTTAGGGTTTCTTTTTTTTTCTTTTGTTTTTGTGAATGAATCTGTAGGTCTGGCCTGCAGTTTGTAAAGCTTTTTTTTCTGTAATTATTCTTGCTGGTTTTTCCTCATACGCTAATGATACAAACAATTATATACAATACTTATAATTAAATTTAATTAAGGACATATTGAAAGCCGTTCAGAATTTAATATACGATTATAAAATTTTATGTCTACAGCTTTAGCCTTAGGGCCAAAGAGTGGAATTGGTTCTGGTCGTAAAGGTAAAAAATCCTGTTACCGTACAATGTCCCTGGAATAAAACTCAACCCCAATTCATTTTCTCCGCATATTATTTTATTAGATGTAATTTAAAATATAAATGGATTTTACAAAGAAAGGGAAATAAGAATTAGTTTATATAGGCGTAGCTTTTTTCAAAGAAAAATGTTTCACACGATATTTTGTCAATTTGCATGAAATATATTTTTTGTGAGGTTGAGAGTTTCCCAGATCCAAAATTTCATTTTCTAATTATTTGTAATTAAAACAATAGTGCTAGGCCTGTGTATTGTCTATCGTATTATGCCACTGTTGATTTTGATTTTAGCAAAATTTCTATCTGCCTGATGTAGGCCTAATATAAATTTAAATTGTAACATTAGTGGGAGCCTTCCATCCCCCCCTCCCACCTTATAGGTTCTACGCGACTGTTCCACAATTCGACGCCCACCTTTGAATGCTTGGAAATTTAGACAACACCCCAGGCCCCATCCCCATTTTCAGCTCCACTCGCACACACATCAGCAGTAAAATCCTGCATCCGCCCCAGGAATATTAATATTTATGAGTGCACATATAGGTATAGGCCTATTCGCGTTGTAGACCTATCTCTCAATACAGTGGTCCTGTACAAACAAAGCACTTTATATAAAATAATACGCACCGCACAATCCACACATAAGTGGACAGCCATCAAGGACATACTGATGATCAGCATCGCACCAAAATACAGGCCATCCCGGATTAGCACCACAACGATCATCGTAGTTACCGCATTCCTCTATAAAATATAGCAGGCCCTAATTGATAATGACTAATGGTAACGACAGTTATTATGTGATGGTAAATATAATAACAGTGACCGTAAAATAATAATATACCGTAGTGGCGGGCTCTACTCACTTGTACAGTCGGCTCCTAGCCATCCGTCATGGCACACACACGTGCAAGCGTTAGTTACATTTCCGCAGTTATGGCAAGTCGCTTTGCATACTTTAAAATATAAATATATTTGATAACTAATAGCATAATATGAAGTCCACGTGTGTTTCGTCAAAATACAACTCAAAAGTAAAGACAAAAAGATTGACTTGGTGGACTTGAAACACTAAATTTATTATTCACATGCATATTTCGGCCTGTCCTCAGGCCTTCTTTAGCATGAGTGACAAACATTATGCAAGTTGGCTTTACAGAAATCTCAATAATATAAAACGAATACATTGATAGGTTTAAAATTCTAACAAAGTGTAATGCACATGGCGATAGGCTAAAAAATACTAGGAGGTGGAGTAAATAACAAATACAATAATTAGGAGGTATAATATAAATGAAGTTGATAGAGTGTGTGGGAGCATGGATTTAGTGTTTCAAGTCTACCAAGTCAATCTTTTTGTCTTTACTTTTGAGTTGTATTTTGACGAAACACACGTGGACTTCATATTATGCTATATATATACTTTTGCAAACTAGGAGGGGCTTCTTTTCAAAATCAGTTACTCACCACACGGACCGCTGTGATCTGCGCATGGGCCTACGGACGAAATGTGAAGAATACTTACAATTAAACCTAATGAATCTTGAATTTTACGAATGTGTTTCGCCTTATTTATGATAACGTTGGCATAAGGGCATAAGAAAGCAATGATGATTTGAATGGTTATAAACATAGGTATTTGTTATAGACATACCGTAGTAAATATTAGCTTTGTTTGATTTAGGGCCTATTTAAATATATGCCTAGGTAGCTAAAATAATCATGTTTTTAAATATGCTTCGATCTTGCGTAGATAAAAGGTTTTATCATTTTACACCCTTATGCTTAAAGTCTCTGGAGGAAAACAATTTTTGATATGTTGTAGAACTGATTTAAAGGGTGTTCGACGAAAAACTTTGGAACGACGGTTAATGAGATACGGATAACCACCCTTTCCACCTCCCCATCCCCACCCATCTAAGCACTGTATTCAAAAATCTGTTTCTCATTTACCGTTCCTAAGTTTTTTTTGTCAAACATCCTTTTTGTGTCTTGGAAATATCAGTTGTAAACATATTCAGTTGTTTTTCCCTCCAGAACCTGGCTTTAACAGCACAACTTTCTAACGATATTATCAAGAAGAATTGCGGCTTTGCAGAATGTCCCATCCCCTCGGCAACACTCTCCAGGTGGTTCCAGTCCATCAGTGCCCATTCCCTTGATGAGGACATAACAAAATGATACTATATTAGGCTTCCTCGAACATGTGGACGAACCTGTAAAAATTCTACTTACGACATAGATCATCATCACATTAAAAATGCTACAATATGCAAATGAGGGATGGTTTTCAAAGGTTTACATGAACCTTCTCCAAAGTTTATTCTGGATTTCATACATCCTTATGTCTGTCTCTTATACACATCTAGATGTGTATAAGAGACAGTATATATATATATATATACACTGCAGCACGTAAATCTAGGTACGTGTAGCCTTTTATGGCAGTCAAACTGTCACCACCGTGCTTGGAATTTATTCAGTGTTCATATTCATTACATTACAATCAATTAATAAAGAACATCAAATAGCTAATTTTAAGGGATCAACTTAATAATTGACTTTCCAATTTAATGGTCATTGCAAAGAATATACGGACAGTATTATTATGTTTATGCAATATAGAATCCACAGTGCTAATAATCTTAAATAAACAAAGTAAACAATTATAAATATTGAATGTAATTTTTATATTTCCATTTGTTTTTACAAATGTTTATCAAATTATATTGAGGCCTAGCCATTGAAAATTCAAGATAGTGACAAAAATGATATAAAAAAAAATAAGTACAGTAATTTAATTGTACTGAATGGTGGTTTAACATTACCCTGGCCCATAGTTACATGTGATGAGGTTTGCTGTAGGCCAGGGAAGTCCGCTTGGATTTGTGCAAAATGTAAACCCACAACCAATACGATTCGATGTTGCCCAGACATTCTGTAGAAGAAGAGATAAACTGTACATTAAAACATAATTAAAAGTGATTACCAAAACCTACGGTTTCTATTACCGCAAAAAATCTGGGTCACTATTCCGTTGTTTAGTTTTAGGGTGGAATGGATTTTTTCGGTGTAAACACCAAGGATAGCCCACGAAAGTCTAGAAGAAGACTTATTTCCAGTGGGGTCCTTCTGGTGGTGATTGGACAGTACACCGGGAGACAATCCCCTACTCTTTTCCGAAGAGTACAACTGTGTTCTTTAACGTGCACATGGGCCATAAATGCACAGGGGACCAACGGCTTAAACGTCTCATCCGAAAGACGGTGCGCTATGTAACATGTATTTCAGCCCTATAGCTAAAACACAAGGAGTGGCAGCGATGGGAATTGAACCGGGGACCTAGAGATCTCCACGGTTCAGCGCACACACAGTGACTACCACCAGATTAGCCGACTGAGCTAAACTGCTCAGGGTGGGTAACAATTACAGTATGGGTTAGGCTAATAGAGTACTGAATTATTACTTTAAACATAAATAAGGCATTGGGAAAAATAACTCATTACTGTAACATGCTTTTTGGGTCGATAGCTCAAAGGAATTGTGAGAAGGTTGTTATATTATTCAAAACAGATCACATACGATATGGATGCTCAGTTTTATATAGGCATAGTATAGTAGCATTTTCATATGTAAACAACATTGCCGTCTCCATTTACAAGCTAGATAATAATAATAATAAATATAATAATAATAATAATAATAATATTAATGATGATAATGATGACAATAATACTAATACTAATACTAGTAATAATACTAACAATAATAATCATCACCATCATCGTCGTCATGGTCCTATTATTATTATTATTATTATTATTATTATTATTATTATTATTATTATTATTATTATTATTATTATTATTTTATTGTTAAACAAACCTGTGTGTAATGTCCACACACATCACTGCATGTGTGGCTATTGTAATCATAATCAACATCTTCGGAGTTCCATGCATCAGTAGCGTCTACTCCATCGGTGCCAGCATTGGACGATGCATAGAGATTCTGACCAATCGATGAATATGGTGTGAGATTCGGAGTTGGTTGCCCATGACCATAGTAACATCCATTCGACCACAGCTGTGCCATGGTGGCTAAATTGTCGTCCCATTCCTATAAGCCGAGAAAGGACGGAAATACACCATTTAACATCACAGACGAATCATTATGATAAAACAAGTGGTAGAGCTTTACTGTGATTGATATGGATAAACATACGTGGGAAGTTCTACCGTAAAATGTAATAAGAATTCTTTCTCTTTAACCATTTGGTTTTCAGGGTAGGTTACATTTAGAGTATGAGCTACTAAGCTGAGTAGGCCTACTGGGTCATTACAAGCATGAATTATGCAATGAAAAATATTAGCCTACTTGTGCTTCTTTGGTCGATAAGTCCACGAACGCTGCATAAGTAAGACAGTTGATGGCTAAAAATTATATAAGCAAAACAAATCACATAGGAAAGGATGCTCAGTTTTGCATAGGCCTGCATTATCATATTTAAACAACAATGTTGTCATCATTTTCGATCATCAATTCATCAGTATAACATAAAATAATATGTACCGTAGTAAAAACATTGCCAAGGTCGAGTGAACTTAGTTAAACGCTGTAATTTGATTGCCATTCTTTGATTAGGAAGTTTTATCATTCCAAGAGTAAGCCCATTCTTAATTATGAGTGAAGAACAGTGGCGGATCCATGAACTTAAAATAGAGGGGGGTCCCAGGAAGGGACTTACATAGATGGAGTGTTTTTACCTCCTCGACCCCACCATGGCTGAGGTAAGAAAATTCATGACTAAAAATTTGAATATAATTTTCTTTCTTTCTCCATTTTTTTTAAATGCAGAGGGCCTGTGACGGCCAACAGTCCCCCTCCCTTGAACCCACTAAAGACAGACAACAATTAGAGTAATACCTTGCCACCACAACAAATGAGTGAAGCAAACAGCTTCAGGTATTTGAAGTCGGTATTAGTTAAGCCTATTTATTATAATGTAGTTTCTGTCAGGTATTTGGGCCTCAAACTCTCACTTTTTGTTTCACAGTACGGTGCACGACCAAAAAAAAACAAAACAAAAAAAAAAACAATGCACGACAAAAAAAAAAAAACGATGCCCGAAAAAAAAAAAAAAAAAAAAAAAAAAAAAACAGATGCAGTCTGCCAGCAAAGAACATGTTTAAAACCCAGCGTGTCCAAAACACAGCTGCCCCGTTCTGTCTCTCTCAGCCCTATGAGACAACACATAACCCCGGCCCTGTCTTGAGACAACTTCATTGGTTTCCTTTATCACAAACGAGTATCAAGATTCTGTTATTTGTTTTCAAAGAACATAGAAGATGGCCTCCCAAAAGAAAGGGAGGCCATGATTCGACGTTTCGACCTTTGTTGGGTCGTCTTTAGGAATGAAAATACTAAGACACTGATTACAAAAAAATGCTACAATATGCAAATGAGGGATGGTTTTCAAAGGTTTACATGAACCTTCTCCAAAGTTTATTCTGGATTTCATACATCCTTATGTTCCTCAGAGATCTCTGAAATCAAGTCAGAATCTCTTCTCGCTTACGCTACTCATTCTTTAACAACACTGTATGGAAACCGATCCTTCTCCTCGGCTTCAGTTTTCCTCTGAAATTTCCTACCTATTGACATCCGGCAGACAACTTCTATAAACAGTTTCAATGCCCTCTTAAGTTCTCCTTTTTAAACAATATTTTTCTTAAATGCTCGGCTTTTATTTTTATTGTGAGGCTCATTGAGGCTTTAGTATAATGCACTATATCAAGGTTGAATTAATTTTATTATTATTATTAATTATTATTATTATTATTATTATTATTATTATTATTATTATTATTATTATTATTATTATTATTATGATTATTAATATTATTATTATTATTATTATTATTATTATTATTATTATTATTATTATTATTATTATTGTTGTTGTTATTAAGGCAATTGTAATGTATGAACCCTCATCTATAATTAAATCATCTTTCAACAATTTTAATTTCAAGTTCTTTCTGTATCGCTAATGGGTCAGTATGAATACATTTCAGACCAGCTTTTTTCTGTAAGCATTGAATTTAATTGTCATTTTTCACCTTCCCACAACGGCCTTGTATTCGTTAGTTACTCACTCACTCGATTGTTTGTTAAAATTCTTCAGTTAGGTAGGCCTATATATTCATATTATTCCGCTCCATTCAAGGATATAGTGCATGCAAAAGGCTTTTGATATAATCATAGTTCCAAAGAAAAGTGCATTTGTATGATTTTTTTTTTTTGAAATATAGCTTAACCTTTGTTCAATTATTATTGTTCCGATATCTTTTACCATCAACAAGGAATAGTTGCAATATTGTTGACATACTTTTCAAATTTACGGTACTTCACTTTAAGTGGGGTGATTTGTTGATAATTGTTGTCACCATGAAAAAAAAGTCGTGTTAAATCCAAGTCTATATTTTATTAAGTAAAACTATAAAATAAGTTTTTAATTTAGATATATATGCCATTGACATTGGTGGTATTGTGTTATATCTAAAATAAGAGATATAAAATAAATGAGGGGTTGTTTATCATTAGTAGCCTAGTCATTTCATTCGTCATAATTGACGATATCCCTATAGGCCTACTATATAAACGTATATGTACGTGTATCACATGTCCTCGAATAAACGCATCCCCCACCCTTTAAAAAAATTGCTGTAAAACCATTCACAATATCATTACCAGTGTGTCACCAATGTTTAATTGAAGGGATATTTATTTGACTATGTCGTATTCACTTTATATACATTTAAATGTTAATGCTTCCTTCAAAAAAACTCCTGAAAATCCCCCTGACAAACGCCGACTCGTGGTGTTTATTGGAATACCGATGATTTTACAGGAAATTAATTCATAAAACAAAACTATTATCTTTTATCGAAGAAATGTTCGTATTAATAACATGAAAGTAATACATAATCAAGATACAGCCTTGGTAGACGTCCATTTTATTTCAAAATACAATAGACCTATACCCTAATTTTGTTTAACAATCTGTGGATTTCTAATGCAGGAAAAATTTAGTTTAAATCTTACTGTTCTATAATCACACATGTACAAAATTAAAGAGTCCTACCTACCATATATTCCATGTTTGACGCTGGTCCAGGTGAAACATTTCGTCTGTAGTAATTGTGACGGTCAACGATGGCTTGGATTTGCTCGGAAGTAAATGCAGTGGATCGTCGTTTTCTTGAGTGAATATCTACAATTGCTTGTATCACCTTAATAGACTTGTTAGACTTCATTACCTGCGGTTTATCTGCGAGTCCCAGTCGGCAATCCAAACAGAGCGCGAATAGGCCTATTGGAATGAAGTATCGTTGTAGCATCTTCAGTGGTATTCGTCTAATTGTTTCTGCTGTTGACAGGATACACTATTTCCTTCTTAGGAATTACCAAGTGCAATTATTATGTAGAATTACTTCAGTGATGTATATCTGAATTCACAATTATCAATGTAGCTTCAGGATATTGAGCAACAAAAAACACAGCTTTAATCAATAGTGTTCCTAAACTTGGTGTTTATGGCGTACGGTAGATTAAGCCTGCCTGCATCGTAACCAATGAAGCAGGAAGTGAATATTTCCAATACCCGGTATTGTTAGATGATTGATAATTTTTTTCTTTCAAGCGTGTTTCTCGTTTTCATAAGTGCTAAAAAATACATGTTAACTTCATTGTCGTAGTATGTTTGGTGTTACAGAACCGATCGTGTAAAAAGGTGTTGTGGACGAACGTAATATCGCACTTTGTAATAAAAACTGTCGCACTTCGTAATAATAACTTATCACACTTTTGTAAAACAGATCTCCCCGCTCATTTTGTATAAATAAACAACTAGAGCTGTCGGACTTTGAAATACCTCTTGTCGCACTTTGTAATAATTCTAAACTATGGGCCTCATGTTAATTCCTATATTTTTGGATGGATTTTACTTAAACTTTGTGAGAATGATCGTATTCAGTGGATGTGTTAAGAAATAAGGTCAAGTGTTAATTTGAGGTCAATTTGAAGAAAATGTTTTATTTACCGGTATCAAGGTTTGTAAGTACGATCACTTGGTGAGAGGACGCACCCAGGGAAGTGATCATACAAATGTCAATGGTCATTTAGAAGATATTAAAAACGTTTTTAATTAACAAAATAATTATTTATTGGTTCTTGCATGGTTAAAATGGATCCTTTCAATTTTTACTGTTTCACTTTCAACATAATTTCGTATGTTTAAACTCATTATCAACAACCTGCTGAAGAGTTAAAAACAGAGAAATTATATTGATTTAATTGGTTACATCAATGAACAAAACAATATTAATCATGGCGTACACTACACTTATCTAGCTACAGCATGAACGTTCACAGATACTTATGTAATGCATGTCTCGCAACACACAAATAATTATATTAGGTGCCCACAGATTTCATGATACTAGGCCTATGAATAATAACATAGTTAAAAACATTTAGAAAATATTTAAAATTAAAGACTATAAACGATACTGATTTGAATAAAAAGTAGTTTGAATACCAAATGATAACAGACTGTAGCATTGGTACGTCTCTAGGAGTCTTGAAATGGTGGGGCTGATGGGGAAGGGGAAGGTAAAGTGGGGTCCATGGTTAGGTAAGAGGGGAGCTAGCTCGCCGAATAAGGTAGGTGATTTTAAATTACTTCAGCATGATTTCATTAGGGACGACAGGAGGGCGAGGTGAGGGGAGCGGATATCCATCATGGACTGCGCTCCCTCCCCCTGGATATGCCACTTGACTGTAGATTATGTGCTACCGTCCTCTATGTAAATGACGAATATGTATTTCATGTTTTGTCATGTAGAACACTTAATAAATAAGATCTGTCGAATATTAAATTGCTAGAGACAACTCCCCAACAGACAGAATTAACCACCAAATCAAAGCTGTTATAGTGGGTATAACATCAAAACTAACCGCTAGGTGGCATTTTTTCACACAATAATAAGCTTCCGCTCGAGTAAATTTCGACAGTTTTTGAACTCCTCAAACTTATTTATTTGTACATTTTTATCGTAAAATGACTTATCGAAAAGCCATGGCAAATATTTCTTTAATAAACGTTAGACTTTTGACCCGTCAGATTTTAAATGGAGTGAAATAAACAGATGGAAAACTTGAACATATTTGCATAGCCTCGTCGCGCGAACACTGGCCTGGACCTGGATTATAGAAAGTCATACAAAATACAAAGATTTTCTGATTCATTGGCCACTGCAGTCAGAAGAAACATCTTATTCTACAATTCATCAATTTACGTTTGTCTAATAGTTTAAATATTTCATACAGATATTGCAATAAAATGACTCGGTGTTCAGTGGGGTCCTAAGTTGGAAGAAGTAATTTCCGGGAGAATTGCGGTGGTGGGTCGAAGTGTGGGTGAGGGGGCAGGGAGAGACTTTCTCACCGAAATCTACACCACCTCAGCCGCACCATGGTTGGAGGCGAGGTAAGACATTATGATTATGGCACTTTTAGATGGCCGGAAATGGCCCTTGCTGACTTAAATTTATTTTTTTTTCTATCCCATTTTTCTTTTAATCATTTTGAAATAATTAAGAGACCCGGGTCAGCTGTCCCTGCCCTTGAATTCACTACTGGCCTGATTAATGAACTTCCTTAAACACAATTTATGAATTTTCGGAGATTCTTGGTTGTTTGCGGGAGTGCAGGAGGCCGTCCTGATTTCTGGCAGTTTTTAAGCTGAATATGTACCTCTAAATCAATGGCGATCGCCTTAGTCAGCGCTGGATGTGGCATGTCATGTGAGCGATTGACTTAGGTTCTCTACAAGACTCTCAAAATTCTTCATCTTTTTAGTTTGAATGGAAATTTGAATCAAATCAAACTTAGTCTCATGAATCTACGATTCATTCAAAATATATACGTTGTTATAAAAAGTACCTTCTATGCTAACTTCATTACAATTTAGACGATTTAATATCAACGGCGGCAGAACGTTTTTTAAAGTGGGGGGGGGCATTTCGTAAGGTCGAGTATGCGAGCGAAGCGAGCATTAGGCTGGGGGCCAAGGTGCCGCCAAGGGCCCCGCCCCCTGGATGCTACGGATATCACGAAGTTTGGTGAATTTTATAAATTATTTTATAGGCATCAAGCTACTGTAATATGATTTCATATTTGTTGTAATTTCCAGTGGCGGATCCAGGAATTCGAAATAGAAGGTGCAAAGGAGGGTATATTCACGGAGAGAAGATCCATACTACATCAGCCCCACCATGGGTGGGGCTGAGGTAAGAACATTTTTGATTACTGGCACTTCTAGATGGCCGGAAATTGCACTTCCAGACATAAAATTTGAATATAATTATCTTTATATCTCCATTTTTTTATTGAACAATTTAGGAGGGTGGGGGCGGGCCGGCTGGGTCCCCTTGAATCCGCCACTGGGTACTTTAGCAGATGGAGAATCTATACCAGAAAGAACATTTGTAATTATGGCACCTCTAGATGGCCGGAAATTACACCCTTAAATTTAAAATTTGAATATAATTTTCCTTATATAAAATTGAAATAGCCTCTCCCCCCTCCCCTTGAACGCGCCACAGATTTCCGAACAAAGTCGAAGTCGAGATTGCATCCACGACCTCAATGAATTATTTATTATGAGGGTTATCCTTGAAAACTTCACTTTTCCCCCGATGGATAAATATTACCCTTCTATGTAGCTCAGAAATGATACTCCAACTGTGGCGGGTCCAGGAAATGTGGTTATATTACGCTAGTTTGGTGGTTTACTGTAAGTCAATCAGTTACACTTACTATACATCTTCGCCGTTAGCATAAAGAGAACTAGAACGTCGCTCCATTAAGAGTGCCTACCTCCCCCAATGCCTAAATACAGAATTCACGAATGCAGGCGATTTTTTCTGCATGCTCGAGGGTGGGTTTCAAGGAAACTTTACAGACGCACGTGTACAGACGTCAATCAACATTTGGTTGCTCAACTCAAAAAGGGAGCTTGTAATGTTCGTTAGAAAATGAAAAAAAATCTATATTTTATAGTAATAATAATAATAATAATAATAATAATAATAATAATAATAATAATAATAATAGGTCAATTTATAAGGCGCAAATAAACAAGGTGTAAGTACGAAATAATAATAATAATAATAATAATAATAATAATAATAATAATAATAATAATAATAATAATAATAATAATAATAATAATAATAATAATAATAATAATAATAATAATAATAATGACATTGCAGCGTTCGTAAAATGTTTGTCACTGGTGCTGGTAACAGTTACAAAAGTGGGGGAGCCAGCCCCCCCCCCCTCTTCCGCCACCGTTGTTTACTATACACTACTTTTCACTCTGCTGCCTGTCCCAAGGTGAGTCCATGGACCAAGCGTTAAAACTGGGTTTCCTCAAACTTTGTTGCCAATCAGCACTGGTTCGAGACTCTGTTCGATTATGGTTCAGTTTGCTAGAACCAAATAATTATAACAGCTATGACATGAACACCTCTTGAAAAATGAAGTGTAGCAACATCAAGGAAAAAGATGACATGGGATAAAGGACCTGGAGAGAAGCTACAGAAGTAGCATCGATCAATCAAGGCGAAAACAATTTTTGAAGCCCTATGTGCCACTAGTGGGTAACTGTAGTTAAAGTAAGTTGATTAACTAACTACAAAGACTACAGTGTAAATTGTTCTTTTGCCATTGGAATAATTCTTACCTGAAAAGAAGTCAGAGGTCGACTAAACAAAGATTGTGTATACAGTAACTAACAAAGTGTTGACTTTACTTTATATACACAATACCTATTCAATGACTGCAATTTCAAAGAAGCCTTAAGTTAGACGGGACTTAGTTGTACCGACCACCATTGTAGTATTACAAGTGAATTTCCTCATGAGTTAATATCGAGATAAAAAAAAATTAATTAATATTACTTATACATTAGATTACCAGATTTTTAATTAGGACTACATTGAGTGATACCAGTGCCACAAATTTCCCGCAGAGCCGTTACCTTATTTCAGGTAGGTTAACTTAGTTATGTTGTTTAGACTTCGCTGAATATATTTGTATGTAGGTGTAAAACAAAAAAATAGCTCACAGGAACTCAATTCTCGTTCGGCTAAGCGTACGACCAGGTAAATAGACCGCGCAAACAGTTTATATAATTTCCAATATATATCATTTTCTTATCCACTTGAACAGAGTAGAGTGGTGGTGGTAGTAGAAGTAGTGATGGTAGTAGTAATGGAAGTGTAAGTGTTGGTTGTGTGGTTATAGTGGTGGTAGATACTAGTGGTGGTTGTGGTAGTGGTGGTAGTAGTAGTAGTGTTGTGGTAGTGTGGGTGCTATTAGTGGTAGTATTGTAATAATATACTACATATTTTCTAATAGATGATATGCTTTACCATATTTCTTTTGAATCAAAAGTAAAGTACTACAAAATATTTGTTCATTTTCTATAGTTAAGAATGTCGCAGCAGAAAAGTGTCTCTACAAAACGTACATGTACTAAACATGAAGGAAAACCAAATAAGCTGATGTATTGCTTATCTTGTAGTGAAAAGTTTTGCGAGATTTGTGAGTCAGACGATCACCAGGTACCAGACCACGATGTATCCACTATTGAACTTGCACTGACTTTGAGAATGAAATCTATGAAAGAAACAATCAAAATGGCAGTAGAGAAAAAAGAACGCTTGCAAGATGCTACACGTAGGTGTCAAAGGATAATTCAAAATACAGACGAAGAAGAAACCGTGGCAATTGAGCTTATTGAAAACCATCGTCAAAACTTAAAAGTTGCTGTTGATGAAGCTTGTGATAAATTGATTACTGAATTAAATATCGCGAAGAAAAATAAAGTCCAATCCGTGACTGACCAACTAGCATTAATAAATAAACAAGAGCAACTTATTACTACATCAGAACTTATAATGAAGGCTGCTCTAAAATCGAAAAAGGGCGCAATCTTAGATAAAAAGAAAACTGATGAAGAGGAAAATTTGAAAGATGTAATCCGTTCAACGACAGCAGAGACAATACGTGGAGTTTATAACATACCCATTTCATTCTATGCAAGCGAGGAAAGTATACAGCGTATTTCGACATCAGTTGGCTCAGTGGTAACAGAAAGTAATTTTATTTGCTTAGAGCTTGAAGGAATAGCGCAAGATGAAGCAGTTGTTGGAGAAAATATCACAATTTTGGCAAGTCAACACCCTGCCATACCACAAGTAGCAATAGTCAATAATTTTCAACTCATATTGTTCGATGGTGAAGGTAATGCTAATACATTACCTGTAGCATACGTTAATGGTCGGTTTGAGATCAAGTTCGTCCCACTCGTAGCAACAGAATATACGATAAAGTTACAATTCAGTAACGGAGAGATGAGTGAAAGTATGTTGAAGGTAAATGTCCGGGCACGAGAGCATACGGTACTTGAAATAGGGAACGTTGAAAATGACAAGATTAAGTTCCATCGACCTAACGATGTATGCATTACATCGGATGGTTTATATGTGGTTGCCGACCGTTTCAACAACAGAGTAGTAATTTGTAACAGATTAGGAAAAATTGAAGGAGAGATCAAAGCAGTAAAGTGGAATGGAAAATCTGAATGCCGAATTTATCCGCATGGGGTTTCTGCGACTTCTAGTGGTGGTATTCTTATTGCAGACCCTGAAAACAAAATAGTATTCCTCTGTAACCGTACAGGCCACCTTCAAAAACGTTTTGGTGAAAGCTTGCTACGATTTCCAACATCCGTGGCTGTAGGTAATGATGGTTCGGTGTATGTTATTGACAGCAAGCATAATGCATTGTATACATTCAATGAGGAAGGGAAGATTTTGAAAAGAATTCCAAGCGCAGACGATGAAATATTGACTCTGATGAATCCACGTTATGTATGTGCTTCTGCTACTGGAGAAGCTCTCGTCGCTGATACTGGCAACGCTCGAATCTTAGTTCTTGACACATCGGGGAAATTGCTCAATTTTATAAAAATTGAATACAACGACAGAATCGGTTATCCAAATGGAATTACTGTTGACAATGAAGGTATAATATACGTTTCTGTATCTCAAGAAGGAGAAAATGGCCATTTAATTCTTAAGTACAAAATGACCGGTACTTTGATTGGTCACGTGGAATCAGATTGTTCAAGATTTGTGCGCGGTATGTGTATGGATTCTTCCTTTCCCGTTAGCGTATTATTGGTTGCTGATTATACTAACAACTGTATTAAAGGGATTTCAGTTGAGAGTTTAAATGGTGTTTAAAATAAAATTTTAAATTTTCGAATGTGAAAATTTGATTTGAAACTGGGAGTAGCATAGCATAATTGCCTAAAATGTGTGGTACTTACGGTACCCTACAGTATGTCCTTATAAATCATGTAGACATTTTTGCTTCAGTTTCTATTCAATCATCAAGTTATTTTGTGAATATAGCGCAATTTTGTAAATATAGTTTATGAGTGAGTTGTTTTGTGTACAAAATGGCCAAAGAATTCAGTATACTCTTCTATTTTGTTTATTTCATTTTAATATATTTATTTTTATTCAATAGTAAAAACAATTTCAAAACAGAAATGAAAAGGACAGAGACAAAAACCATAGAGAACAGTGTAAAAATGAAATTTCAAGATGTGATTTAAATCATTGTTGATGTCGGTTTCCAAAACTGCTTCCAGACAACATGATTTACAGTAAATAACAGCTGGCAGTTATATAATACGCCTCCTGTATTCTTTTGCCTAGAACCTTAAATTAGCTACTGGTAATCATTTTAAGATATATGTTTTGTAGTAAAATGTCAATTAGCGATTACTATAATTGTTTAATCAGGTTCCGGTTGGAACTTAATAATTTAATAACTAATTTAACTTTTTTGGTATGATACAATTTGTACAGATAGATAATACCGGTAATTCATAATAATAAAAGTACATTATAATTTTCATTTTGTGAAGAGGGAACTCTGCTAATAAGCCTGCTTTTAGTTGCAGAGCTCTAGCATAATATAATACAAGCTTTAGAAAAATCAATTGAAATAGTCTTTTCATATAAATAAAAAAAATATTGTTTGCAATAATGGGAGACTTTAAAGAGTAAAGGAAATGAACATTACAAATTGTGCAAAGTGCCTTTTTTGAAGTATATGGTTGTTTCCTGAGCCCCATATTGATATACTATAAGTAAGAGTCGACAGTTACATGAGATTTATAATAAAGAGAAGTACATGATATGGTAGAACAGCTTTTAAAAGGTCCATAGCACCAATAAGTTTAGACACTTTACTTGCAATCGCATTTACATGACTTGTAAAGTATAATTTTTCATTTATGATAACACCCAAGAACTTCGTATTTTCAATTCTTTCAAGAATATCATCGCCAATCCTTAGTTCTAGATTTGAAGTGTACCACTAAAAATAATGAATTTTGTCTTTTTGTTTGTATTTATAGTAGCTTATTATTAATAAACCATTCATTAAGGCATTTAAGTTCTGAATTCATTGATTTGTATGGATCATCATTATTAACATCATCAACATATTTAATTTGAAACAACGGTTTATTTTCTTGTTGCTAACTCCCTGAATTCTTGAACAGCCTTAAATATTATTCGTTTTTTCCATGCTTTCACAATAAAGTAGATTTCTTCGATATACACAGAGCAGGCAATGAAACCAAACACCTACCAAAAAGAAATGAATTAATGAAGTAATGCATCTAATAAAATATATGAACCTATAATAAGCATATTTCGAATTGTCACACGTCATCATCAGAAAATAATGCTTATGCTACTACCGGTCAGATGTATGACAAACAAGCAAATACTAAGGAAGTATGTCATGAATACTGTGGTAAGTCATGTATATAAGAATTAAAATAATGAAACAGTGATATTGTAATGAGTTGTTTGTTCAGTGACGGATTTCTAAAAGCAATGTAAAGGGCTTCTTTTATTTGCAGGTTATAATTATTGTGTGTGGAATCAAGAGTAGTAAAGTCTGAATTAGATGTGTTTTTGAATTTTAAGTTTTGCTTGAAGATGTTAAAAAATGTGTGAGAACTGAGGACTTGTCTAGAAAAATATATTTGTAATGCAAACTCACACAGTAATTAGGGCCTATCGTCAAATATTCTGTACATATATTGCAAATTAAATATGTAACTAGAGAGCTGTATTATGCGCTTTAGGAATCCATTGATTGATCGAAAAAATAGACTTACTGTTCCTGATACTAATGCACCGACATCATTAGTGTTAGCAGCAATATGAGAGGTAGTAGTAAGTAAGCCCGTAGCGGCTAATACATTGAAGAATAGCTCCTACCAAGTAAAGAGAGTGAGGATGTAATTGTGTTTCGATATGTTACATGAACATGTTAACGAAATTCATTAAAACCTATTAAAAATATTAACTAACCGAGGTGTATTTTTAATAAAATAATTGTGATTATATTTATAATCACTAATTAATTTGGCATGTTATTAAATACTATATGATTAATTTTTCGTCAAAAATGACAATTAAAATGATTTGTATCTAAATTTTTCGAGTTTTCAAAAGTCGAAAGTATTACGTCAGATGCCATATTGTGGGATAACAAAATAAATCATGTGGTACCAAACATTCAAAAATTAGTTACAGTAACTGTAATTATTAAAAAAAAACTGTTTAATGTATAGATTGCACTTCCTGAACACAACAATGTTGTACACTTCAAAGAAGAAGTTGGTACATTGTGATGTTTAACGTTTACGGTGTGATTTTCTAAACTTCTCTATTGTCAATAAAAGTATTTATACCATCAAGCTCCATGGAAAATCAAACTTTTTAACCAACGTAGTTGTATAAGCGATGACGAATAGTAAACTCAATATGCAGCATATCATTGCCACAACTTCAAAGTGAATATAAGCAGAAGAAGATGATTCGGTGTCCTCTGCAAGAATAACGCACAGAAATCCTATGAAACAGCATATCTATTGAAAGAAAAGAGGTAGGCCTATAAAGAACTGAAGTGTGACGCCAGTGATTCTGGTCGGTGCAAGCTAGCGCGTGCAACGCAGATAGTCGGGCAGGAACAGGGGTTCTTATCACCCCCAGGATATATTTTTTTAACTAAAATTTTTGTAATCCTCAAAGTTTCTCTTGAAAGAATTTTGTTGTTCCCATCAAAAAACAAAAATTCCCATGGGGTTGTTTGGTGGCCATTTTGGCGACCATCTTAGATTTTCAACGAAAATCATTAATTTGTATACTTCATTGACTAAAAATCATATAAAATCAAATAAACCTCTAAATGTATATATTAAGCAGTGTTCAAAAGATTGACTTCGCATTTACATTTGACGGCCTTATTGGCTGCCATCTTGGATTTTGAATGAAAATCATTAATTTGTATATTTTAATAACTAAAAATCATATTAAATCAAGTGAACCTCTAAATGTTCACAGTAAGCAGTGTTTATGCTCCCAATACAAAACACTGACATCCCAAAACATTTGGCGGCCATTTCGGCAGCCATTTTGGTGGCCCTCTTGGATTGTCGATGAAAATCATTAATTTGTATAATTTATTTACTAAAAATCATTAAAAAATCAAGTGAACTTCTAAATGTATATAGTAAGCAGTTTTTAAGTTGTCATTACAAAACCTTGACTTCCCAATACATTTGGCGGCCATTTTGGTGGCCATTTTGGATTTGAAAAACAATTATTAATTTGTATACCGTAATTTATAAACTAAAAATCACATAAAATCAAATGTATACAGTAAGCATTGTTTTATACGTAGCAATACTTTTGCCGGCCTTTTGCCGGCCATTTTCAATGTTCAATGAAAATTGATTATTGGTAAAACATTTGACCTATATATCATACACAAAAATAAGTAACCAATGTTTTTAGGGTAATGTTGTCATTAGGAATAGATTGAGAGTGAAGTACAATACACTCTCCCCCAACTAAATTTGAACTACAAATCTAGATAGTCTGGGGCCTTAACTATTCATGAGGATCTTCGCAATAGGGGTTTTTGAGCTGGTAGGACTATTTGACCTTTGTCAACCTGTTCACTAACTTCGGGGTTTTCGACCACCATTGGAGCTTCAGAGAGTGTGGAACTTTGTGTTGGCAAAGGCTCAGGATGTGTTACCACATGTGGATCCCGCTGCTTCTCATGAGCTTCCCTTGGAGTATGCCCACTTACGTCATTGACAGGAACACTAGCCAACAGACGGTCGGCAGATAATTAGCATAGGGCTCCCGCAACACGCACCAAATAGGTAAGAGGACCCAACCTCTTAATTACACATCCCTTTATATGCTTAATTAACCCATCTCTACTGTTTTAACTCCAACATGTTCACCAACGTCACATTTCCTCAAGTCGTATGCATTAGGGTTTAATGAGACAAACCTTATTGTGGGGAACATGCTAAAACGACACCAGAATATTTAAAATCATTTGAAATTAGTTCGGACATAGGTTGTCCACGCTAGGAAATTAGGGGGAGCGCTTCCATGCAGCCACCAACCGCAAAAGTTTTGAAAACATATTCCTGTCAAATTTCCATAGATGGTGGTTTCCTCTGACTGCTTCCGTGGCTCCTTGCTGACAAAATAGTATGTGAATGGCTGGTTGATAGGGGTAACTTTTTCACCAGTACCTGAGACAAAACCACCAAATCCTGGAACAAGTTGTTTCACTACGCTCCCCACTGCTCGTGCCAGTAACCAGATATGATACTCTCAGATGTAATCTACAGTTTAGCGCAGGCAAAATGAATGCAGCTCCCTCAGACAGTTTTTGGCTTAACACGACCATTTATACACTGATACCAGGATCTTGGCCATATCCACTCTCATGAGCGCATCTTGCTTCATCCGTAGACAGTTAGCGTCCGGAGAGTTTTCTCCTGTTTGCTGGCTCCAAGCTTGGGTTTCATCTCCTGTAATAATTTCTGAACAAAATTATGACATATATTCATGGTTCAAACTGTGTTGAACAATGCTGGTGGAATCAATGTACAAGATATAAAAAAAAAACCGGGGTTGAGCTCTGGACGCTTCTTGTCTAAAAACGAAGCAAAATGTGCTCCTTGAAAGGGGATACGATCGTGACCCTGGCACCAGTTCAGGTTGTGCTGGGCCCAAATTTTCTGAGGGAGCTGTATTCAATCTGCCTACACTGAACAGTGTAACAAAGTGCATTCAAGAGTATCATGTCTGGTTACTTGCATATTGGTAGCAGCGGAGAGAAGCAACTTGTTCCATGATTTGGTTGCTTTGTCTCAGGTACTGGTGAAAAACTCTTCTGTAAGTCAACCATCGCCAGTATTACCCCATCTATCTACCAGCCAGGGACAGAATAATCAGTAATCAAGGATCTATGAAAGCAGTGAGAGGATGCCATCATGGAGATTGGCCAGTAAGTGTGTTCTCAATACTTTTAAACTTTGTGGCTGCAATAAAGCATCCACAACCTATATCCCAACTTTAAACCTGTGAACCGTCGTCTTGGTAACTTCAAGCAAGCTAATAGGCCGATATTCTGTTGTAACAAGCCTTGTGATTTTTCTTAGATTATTATGTACCACTCTGATAAATTTCATGATGATCCGTTTTGTGTGATCTTGCTGAAAGGCAGAAAAACAATAGTGAATGCATAACCTCTTTGGCGGCAGTAATAATAAAGTATGTGTAGATCGGATCCTCCATTAATTATAGTCCTTTAAAGAATTACATGATTTTATAAGGGTTTTCTTTGTAAAACATTCACAAAAAAAGACTCATTGGATGTAACAGCATGTGTAGTACAATAATAAATGTACAGTAGATTTACTGTGAAACTAAACATTGCATCTGACTGGTGTTCATTGGTGTGGATAGCGTTTGTGAACAGGGAGCTTGAATTACATTGGCCAGAAAATCATGGTCATTGAGTTTGACCATTGGTTTTTAGTTTGTACCGTGGTTGGATTAACATTATTTTTAAAATATTTTTTATACCATGCATTAGGCCTATACCATTAAAAAGTACTTTTCACCAGGATCAGAGCATTTTGTATTGAATTTTGAGTGTAAATAAAGTGACTTCAAACCTGCTTAAATCATAGGTCATGGATCTCAATCAATTCCCAATGACAACATTACTCTGAAAAATTTGTTTGTATAATATAGGTGAAATGTTATACGGTAATCAATGTTAATTTAAAAGACAATGTGGCCGTTAATGTGGTCGCCAATTTAGCTGCCAAAATGGCTGGGCAATGTATTACGAAGTCAATGTTTTGTATTGAGAAAATAAACACTGTTTATACCATAGGCCTATATATTTAGAGGTTCATTTGATTTTATATGATTTTAGTTAATAAATTATACAAATTATTGATTTCCATTGACAATCCAATATGGTCGCCAATATGGCAGTCAAATGTATTGAGAAGTCAAATTTTTGTATGGAGAACATAAACACTGCTTACTATATACATTTAGAGATTCATTTGATTGTATATGATTTTTAGTTAATAAATTACGCAAATAATTAATTTTCATTCAAAATAAAAAATGGCCGCCAATATGGCAGTCAAATGTAAATGCGAGGTCAATGTTTTGTATTAAGCACTTAAACACTGCTTACTATATACATTTAGAGGTTAATTTGATTTTATATGATTTTCAGTTAATGAATTATGCAAATAATTGATTTTCATTCAAAATCCAAAATGGCGCCAAACTACCCCATTGGACATTTGTTTTCGATGGGAACATCAAAATTTGTTCATCAGATATTTTGAGGATTACAAAAATGTTAGTTAAAAATATATCCTGTGGGTGCATGGGAACCCCCGTTCCTACTAGACTAAGACTAACATTGATTGAATCCAGTCGGCTTCGTGACGTTGTCACTTGGAACCCTAAATTTATTTTTAAGTGTAATGGAAAGAATATATTTTTTTTTAAAGACTGAACTACTGTATTCAACGATGCGGAGACGTGTCCAATGAAACATTCTTTCAACTCATAAAACTAATCTTTCCATTGCACAAATACAAATCATTGATTATTGTTTTATAATACACCATTTGATATTATACCGACGGGGACGGAGCTAACCTGATTTCCACCGGGTGGGTGGGGGGACAACGTGCGTATAAAGATAATGATAAAAAGCAAACAAGCAATTTTTCATATAGAAAATAAAAGAAATAAGAGAAGTTTTTAGACTAATTCGATAATAATTTATCGTGTATACGATAACAATCTATTTTGGTAAGTCAATTCAAATGACGAAAAAAAGATAAAATCGTAGTAGTAACAATGATTTTATCGTTTTATTTGAACTGATCTGTCAAAATATTTTGTTATCGTATACACGATAAATCTTTATCGAATCATCCTAGTTTAGAAACTTCTCTTATTTCATTTATATTCTATCAGTGAACAATTGCTTTTTAGCTGTTTAGCGTTATCGTTGCAATTATAAGTAGGCCAAGACTACCTACTTTTTAGTCAGGTAGAACTGTTAGAATCAGAATTGTGAATATGACCTTCAGGACAAAAAAGTGAAGAGTGACGCATATTTTTATAAGAATAATTTTGCCCCAAAAATAATAAGTAACCAATGACACGTGACATTAAACCCAATAATCAAATAATACGGATATATATTTTAATCGGAAAACAGAGGTCTCGTCAAGTGGTGGCGTACCATTGCCCGTCTAGAATGCCTATACAGATACAGATACAGGCAACACCATGATAATACAAAACGTAATGAGTAGTTCATGAGTAGTTCAGATTTGCTAAAGACGATCGTAATAGTTATTATCATCATCGTCATTTTCATTTTTCCACCAATCAATTTTCATTATTATTATAGTGTGAATTTTTTGTTTCTTGGGATATATTACGGTTTTGAATATTAACTTAATGCCCCTACCGCTTCATACGATACGATACGATTTATTGGGTTCACTTTTAGATCAGTGGCACCCATCACTTAGATGGTGCACCCATTAACAATATAAAATATAAGTAAAGGAAAGCAAAAGACAGTTCAAAAACAACAAAAGGATAAATAGCATAACAAAAACAAAACCAAGCAATTTACAGTAAGCTTTTACCCTTATTATCTAAAAAGAAAAATTCTTACTAAAATATATTAAGTAAACTGAATGAAACACACTGAGCTGCACAACAACCTGTACTTAGAAGTCGTGTGAAGTTACTGGATTATGTATTTATTTATTTTATTTATTTATTTCCTTTTTCTACGGACCAGGGCAGAATTAAAGTCAAATTCAGTAAAATATTACAGGTTCTTGTGCATCTCATTGCGCTTCATCCAAGCAATATAAAGGTATTTTTTACAATATTTGTCGAAGATAAAACTTGCATCATTGTAATCAGAATCAACCAAATTGTATTTAAGGGGAAATTCATTATGGATAGATAGATAGACAGGTCATCAAAGAAAAGATGGTGTCTAAAATTTGCTAAACTAGAAGTAAACATATCCCAAAATATATCAAGGTTGTATTCATTAAGTTCAATTTTAAATTCCTGGAAAATTGTATCTCTAATATTGTTAAATTTACAGCATTCAAAAACAAAGTGATCTACTGTTTCTTTACAACCACTTTTACATAATTTGCAAATACCTGTGTTTACAGTTGACCAGGCTTCTTATATTTATATTTAAAAAAATCTAATTAAAATGCAATAAACAAGGAAAAATGCAATGTGAATACATTGCATTTGTGTTCTAATCCCAGGATTACAGACATTTTAAATAAATTAATTTGAACAACAGAGATCCACATAAATATTATGAAATCAGCTGTATGATCAGATTACCCATATAACTGAAGGCTTTTAGGTAATGAATTTGTCTGAACTCAAATGCAGGGACAAGTATGGTCGCAACCTGAGGTTATAGCATGCGCCGGCAGGAAACAAATTGGATGGCAGGTATCTTAAATCATAAAATCTACAAAAACATTGTGTTCCATGTCAAATATATTAAAAGCGTAGGCTGCCGGCACCTTGACCTCTGACGATTAGTGCCAACAAATTTTCACAAAAACGTGATGCAATAATAACAAAATTATTATTATTGTTTATTTTGGGAAAAAATATTTCTGCCACTCCAAATTTCTTTCCGATTATTCTTTCTTATATGCTTCTTCCGTATTTTCGTTAAATTTATTTTACTAAATACATATTTTGCATAATATAAATTCATAAATAAGTATATCATTTTGATACATATTTACATATTTTAACTGAACTATAGAACAAGGCCTGTGTATACATTAAGTCTGTATTTAACATATTTCAATCTTATTGCTTTATTTAAATATTATCAAATATTATTATAATAAACTTAACATTATTTCATATGATGTATTTTTCAAATAAATATCTAAACAATTTTAATTGATTAAATATAACCTCTGAATGTAAATTTACATAGAATTTACGTATCAATAAAAATAAGACATAGTACGATTACGATTATGATTTATTGGGTTCACTTTTAGATCAGTGGCACCCATCACTTAGATGGTGCACCCATTAACAATATAAAATATAAGCAAAGGAAAGCAAAAGACAGTTCAAAAACAACAAAAGGATAAATAGCATAACAAAAACAAAACCAAGCAATTTACAGTAAGCTTTTACCCTTATTATCTAAAAAGAAAAAATTCATACTAAAATATATTAAGTAAACTGAATGAAACACACTGAGCTGCACAACAACCTGTACTTAGAAGTCGTGTGAAGTTACCGGATTATGTATTTATTTTATTTATTTATTAATTTCCTTTTTCTTCGGACCAGGGCAGAATTAAAGTCAAATTCAGTAAAATATTACAGGTTCTTGTACAGCTCATTGCGCTTCATCCAAGCAATATAAAGGTATTTTTTACAATATTTGTCGAAGATAAAACTTGCATCATTGTAATCAGAATCAACCAAATTGTATTTAAGGGGAAATTCATTATGGATAGACAGGTCATCAAAGAAAAGATGGTGTCTAAAATTTGCTAAACTAGAAGTAAACATATCCCAAAATATATCAAGGTTGTATTCATTAAGTTCAATTTAAGTTAAGTTCCTGGAAAATTGTATCTCTAATATTGTTAAATTTACAGCATTCAAAAACAAAGTGATCTACTGTTTCTTTACAACCACTTTTACATAATTTGCAAATACCTGTGTTTACAGTTGACCAGGCTTCTTTGCGACCTTCTAAATCAAGCAAGTTTGATCGAGTTTTAAATTTAAGAGCCACCTCTGAAAAGTTACATTTGTCAAGGAGGTATAACTCAAAATTTGGTTCAGATTTATATCTGATGTAGTCATTAAGTGACGACTTCCTTTGAGCATGATCAAACCAGTTTGATTTATCATATATATTATTCATTTCTTTAAAAGTCAGTGTATGTGATAAGTTAAGATTGAAACTATCTAATAAATTACAATTACTGAGACTTTTCTTAATATTATTTAACCATTGCCATTTTGAAACATCATAAACTTGAAATATAGCTTGAAAAAGTAATCTTGGCCACCTATGATCTTGTTATGATCCATGTTTTTAAGTCTATTAAAGTATATAATTCTAATGTTTGTCTGGATGGATTCTACAAAATTCCATCCTAGATCACCATAAAGGGCCTCCTTAGCAACATTTCTTGGGGATTTTAGTAAAAATCTCGCCATTTGGTATTGAAGATTTTCAATACGGTCAATGGATGTTTTACTGTTGGTAAATCAGACACTACATGCATAGTTGATTGTGGGAAGACCGATTGTCTTCCAAAGTAGGTCACCATAAAAAATTCTATTAAAATCTTCTTGTTCCTTAATTATTGATCTTATATAGGCAATAATTCTATTTCCTTTTTTGATAACTTCATCAATATGGTAGTTACCTAATACATTCATGCACCCAATAAAAAACAATAAATAAAACATAAAGCTAGCCTTAATACTATATATTTATTCGGTTACATCTTTGTAGATACTAAGTGTTTTTGTCACAGGTTATTGGGTCTTTGCTTAATTTTCGCTGTAGGCCTAATCAACACAGGAGAAGGTACCCCAATAGAACCCATAGATAACCATATATACACATTGGTTGAGAGAAAACAATGCAGATAAAAGTGCCTTATTCAATGACACAGCCGACGTGCACAGCACAGGTTTAAAACCCTGATCTAGCGGTTGGGAAACCAAACCATTCCGCTGCACTAGGCATCTCTTGCTTTTGAAAGAAAGCATTAATTACTATCTAACTAACCTTGGCATATACGTTATTGTTGCATGTCATTTAAGACATAGCGCACCTAAATAAACTATGTTACTATTTGATTTAATAAGAATACGTACTATTTCTGTGATCTTTAGAACTCCAGGGGGAGACATGAGAAACGCCAACCCAATCGGTGGGTACTGTTCCATCACTTCAGCAATGTTGACCAATATTTGTTCGTGGTCCATCGTGTTATATTTCAAAACTTGAATACTGAGACTAAGAATAGTTTAGGTGAAGTATATTCATATGAAATACAGCGAATTATTTTTTTCAGTGTTAAGTATTTTGATAAAAGATAAATCTGGGTTATTATTTCACAACAATGTATAGGGTGATGACGACATGGATAAAGGTCCAATGTCCATATGAAGTGAATTGATATCACACAAATATTTACAAAATTTTACTGACAATACAGTTATCAGCACTTAGTATTAACAACTGTTATATAAGCTTACAGCTTACATAATAATAATAATAATAATAATAATAATAATAATAATAACAATAACGATGACAACAATAATAACAACAATATTAATACTAATTATATATATATATATATAAAATGTAATATATATAATATATATGAAATATATATAATTCAAAGAAAGGTAAATACAGTGAATTTATATTATATATTATATATTATATATAATATATATATATGTATATACTATATATAATATAAATAATATATAATGATAGGATAAAGATAAAGTATAAAGTCTTGCGGTAATACTGTAGTTATAAATACATTTTTAACGTTAAAGAAGAGGAATTTGTGCAAGTAGACAAAAATATTAGGGATTGTCAATCAACGTTTAGTATTATGTAACATGCTACTAACCGGTTACACGACGATCAGACTCTTGCTGGGGGATGCAGGCGGGCCAAAAATTTGCGTAAAAAACAGAAAGTGTCTATAATTTGTAAGTATATGTTTTACTAATACCATGCTAATACACTTTATTGTTGCAGCACCTATACTTAGGGTCGAATGGCTCGCCCATTCCATATTAAGTGTTATGTTACTTGGATAGAAATATTATGAATTTTAGTCCGACCTCGTAATGGTGTCAGACAATGGCGATCCAGGCTTGCCCGACGGGAAGAAGGACCATTTGTTCTGATTTTTTGGCTTTTCCTACGTTAGCCATTTTTGTTCTTATTTTTTTTCTTCCATCCCATTTTCTTACATTGTCATGAGTCTTCGGCCGAGCAACCTCATTGTGCGAGTGCTCCGTAATTATTATGAAGTAAGTAGACAACATTGGTCTCTCTGTTTAAATTTTCATCCGATAAACAAGATTAGATTGCAATACCAGATAAGTATTATCACAACTTTGTTGTTGTACATTAAAGTGTTACTTTGTTGAGATTTGTGATCGTTGCTTATACGGCATGAGTGAGAAACAATCCGATATTCCTGCCACAGGTGCGATGACACGCAACAACGCAGAGCTGGTTCGTCAAACCATGGTCAAACAGTTGTTGAGCTATCGAAAAGTGATCGACTTTCCAGCCTAATACAAAACTGTTTCGAGATGTTTGAATCTAGTCAAATACAAGAAATCTTTAAGAAAACCGTCACATCTACTATCGATGATTATTGTAACCAGATCATGGCTAAAATGAACGATATGGATGTTAAAATATCTGGAATATCTTGTAAGGTAAACGATATAGAGGAGAACTTAGGCCACCTTAGTACCAAACTTCAAACGGTATTGAATGATGTCGATGAAGCAGTTTAAAACGTTAACTCCCAAATTGATGGCCTTGAGCAATACTAAAGGCGAAACCGTTTTCGTGTTTTTGTTGTAAAAGAGGAAACTAATGAAAATACAGATATAACATTATAATTACTTTTGAAGAAAAACAGCTAAGTGTTAAGCTATCAGTTGATTATATTGACAGATATCATAGGGTAGGCAAATCATACCAATCCCAGACCAATTGTTGTCAAATTCGTTTCATATGACCAAGGATGTTTATATTTATCATTATTTGTATGGGGGCCAATTTCTATTGTGGTTAACTTGTTTTTGTTTTCAACAGTCCAATTTATATCCATTTTTGTGAAACTATTAATTCGTTTGTTGTGTTTATGTTATATGTTTTTGTGTATGCTCAGTCATGCTTGACCCAATAAACCAAAATCGATTGAATAACTTAATTTTCAATCCTTTTGCTATTTATGATAAACATGATCAAGATTTTGACCCTGACACTAACTTTCTTTTTTTCTAGCCTAAATACATGTAGTTATTTTCAACCTGACCAACACATTACAAACATAAATCACCAGCAAACATTTTCGTAATTGCATGTGGATTCTTGTTGCCTTGTGCACAGTACTCTTTTAAGCTACTACCCTCTAGCCTCAATTAATAATTTGATGTTATTGGCATCGCTGAAACATGGTATAATAACCCCATAGTTAATATTCCAAATTACTCGTTATGTCGAATAACAGGCTCGGGCGGTCTGGTGGAGGAGGAGTTGCCATTTTTGAAATGTTAAATTCTTTAAAAAAAGAGCTGATATACATCTTGACCCATCCCTCTGTGATTCCCTATTTATCGAAATTGAAATTATATCCTGTAAATTGTAGTTGTCATAATATATAGGGCACCATCACTTAATTAAAATTCTTTTATTGAAACATTTGCTCTTATTTTAAATGATTTATCAAAAAATAAAGAAATAAACAAGTTTACTTATTATGTGATTTTAATATCGATCTACATAAAAACACGTCAAATGATAATAATTTTTAAAATTTTGTAAATTCACTTTCTAGTAATGTTTTTCGTCCTGTTATTAATAGGCCTACACGTATAACACAAACCTTAGCAACACTAATTGATAATTTCATTACAAATCAATGCGATAATCGTTTAACAGTGCTTCTTTATAGCGACATCAGTGATCATCTACCTACTTTCAATTTTACTCCCACTTCTACCAGTTATCGATCTGACCAAAGTAATCCAACATATACATTTAGAAAAATTTATGAAACCAAATTTAAATACATCTATGACAAACATTCTCCACTTTACCAACATTCTGCAAAGAAAAAGAAAATTATAAATATGGATGACCGATGGGATACGTACCTCAATTAAACATAAAAACAAACTTTATTCCCAATCCCTCTGGCATACTATTAACAAAAATATTAATAGATTCAAACAATTTCTTAATAAATTGAATTCAATTATCCGTAAAACTAAGAGTAAGTGTTACGAAGAAAAATTCAATTAGCAAAAAAATAACATAAAGGTACATGGAAAATTGTCAATAGTCTTGAAAATTGAAGGTAGAGAGTAATCACGATCAGTGCGCTTTAAACTGTAACGGAGACCCATCAAATGACCCTAATACAATTGTAAATCACTTCAATAATTTTTTTGTTGACATTGGTCCTACACTTTCAAAAAATATCGGTCAGTCTAATTCAAATTACCTTCCTCAACCAACCCTCCATTCGTTATTCCTTAACCCTGTTACTTCTCATGAGATTACATGTGTCGTAAGGGATTTGAAAAGCAACAAAGCACCTGGTATTGACGGTATTAATTCATATATCATTACACAATTTATTAATTTTAGTTCGGAACCCCTCTCCTACATTTTTAATCTTAATCTTACCTTATGGTGTTTTTCCGGATAGCCTCAAACAAGCGAAAGTTACCCCGATTTTTAAGTCCGGTGACAAATCTGTTTCTTCCAATTATTGTCCAATCTCCGTTCTTTCAGTTTGTTTTTCTAAACTTTTTGAACGCCTAATATTTGTGATGGCATTTACAATATTTAAAAAAAAAAATAACAATATTTTGTACCATAATTAATTTTGGCTTTAGAAAAAACTACAACACTACATCTTCACTTCTTCAACTTAAGAATAATATTATCAGAGCATTTGAGAACCACGAACTTGCAATTGGCATTTTCATTGATCTCTCGAAGGCTTTCGATATTATTGACCATAACATTTTACTATATAAACACTTCCATTATTGTATTCGTGGCCCTGCATATAATATTTTTAATTGTTACCTTTCCAATCACAACATTTAATAATGCTTTGTCCGACTTTCTGCCTATTACATGTGGAGTTCCTCAAGGATCTCGGCTCGGGCCCCTTTTATTTTTGTTGTATATCAATGACATTTGTAATTCATCTAAGTTATTGACGTTTCTTATGTATGCTTACGATACCACTCTTCCATATACGGATAAAGATATTGATTCACTTTTTAAAGTTTCCAATGACAACATGCTCAACATTCTTAAATATTTTTCTGCCAACAAACTTTCTGTTAATTTGAAGAAGTGTAGTTGTATTGTCTTTCATAATTCCACTAGATTACTTGATAACTATACTGACCAACTAAAAATAATCAAATCATCTCCTTTGTTAATAATACAAAATTGTTGGGCGTTCATATCGATAGTCGCCTAAAGCACATTTGTGAAATTGAGAACAAAATTTCTAAAAGTATCGGTATTATATATAGATTATCTTCCTTTATTCCTTAAAACATTCTCCGTATACTTTATAGCTCCTTGATTCTTTTTAATTATTGTTATTGTTATATTGTTCGGTGCAACACTTACCCTTCAAGTCTAACTAAGCTCTTTGTTCTCCAAAAAAAAAAGGTCATTAGGATCATATCGAATTCCCATCCACGAGCCCACTCCGATCCCCTGTTTTCTTCTCTCAAACTATTAAAACTTCAAGACATTAATTATCTCTTACAATGTGTTTTTATTTTCTCCCGGGTAAATTCTCTCCTTCCCCCTTTCTAATTCAAGAATAAGTTTTACCGACAGGTTAAAAAGAACACATACTTTCCAAATATGTCTAATTTTGTTTTCTTTCTATCATTTAGATTTAAGCTATTTATGGTTTGATGGGTTTTATGTTTGAGCATTGTTTTTTGCCGTTTTTGTATCGGCCTGTTTTTACTTTCATTTTCTTTTCTCTTAGACTGTCCTGTTTATTGTTTTGTATCCTTTATAGTTTCCAGAATAAGTGGGCAGCCTACTTCAAGCTTTTGCTTTTTGGGATCTTGCCCTTCTTATTTTTAACCGTAATTATCAAATGTACTTTATAAAACTTAAAAAGAAAAGATAAATAAATGTACATATAAATGAATGAATATTTTTGCACTGGGTTTTTCTGTCCGGTAATTTATTCACAGTTCTTCAAAGTTTGTCCAAGAACATAATATTAAAATATTAAAGGCATGCATATTAAAATATAACGTCATTCTACATATTTCAAATTTAATAAACGGATAAATAAACTTTTATGTGAACGCAATTTGCATTTTTTTGGAACGCGTGTTTATGTTTATATAGAAATACACAAAAACGACCCGTATATTTTGTTTGAGACGCGACTCAGAGCTGCAATGAACATAGTATGTTCTTGTAATTATTGTAATTATTATTATCAGGCCAAACTAAAGATTAATAAAACTTGGTTTGAAGTCACTTTGATGACGCGAATCACAGTGGGTGATTCATGATATTACGTCACGTGGTTCAGACAAAAACGTGCCCGTTGTGCATTCTCATTTGGATGAACAATTTCGATGAATTTAGCGTACGTTACGTGTTAAACACAGTGGTATTTTGAAGTGAGTTGTCCTTGCTTTTTTTCAAAATTTAAAAAGTATCTTCCAAGAGTATTTCCATGTGCTCGGCTACAATTTGAAGATGACGTGCAAGTTTACGCACGACCATTTTCATAAAATTGCACCTCCTCAGACCACACCTATTAATAAACTCCGCATAAATGATCCGCATATCTACATCCAGTACAACGTAAGCTGGCTCTCAATGAATTTACCATCTTTTCCCACTCCCAAGTACTGACCTAAATGCGCCATGCTCTTTTAAGCATTTTCATACACTCACTCTACTTCGTTGCCTTTGTGTTCAACACAAAATAACCGTGAAATGCACAAACGATTTTCGCTTTCGACCGATTCATGCGCACGATAGCCTATGAGGTGTTGTCCTTCAATGGGCTCCCCTTTCGGACATCTCTAGATCCACCCCTGTAAGAATGTGCCAGTAGTGTATACCTTAGTACAGAGAAGCCATAATACTTTTACTCGTAACTTTGGCAACAGTACCGTAAGTATTGTAGTATTCATTGTTTAATGAAATTAACTGTACTTTAGTTAATAGTTTGCTAGGCCTATGTATTTCTGCCATTTGACTATACAATTGGGCTTTGAAGTGTTATTAATTAAATCTAAATATTATTACAAAGACTTTTACCACGTATACGTTTTGCCACACTCATATGCAAAGTTGAAATCGAAGCCTTTCGTTTTAGACATGACATAACATAGATATTAGGCATTGGAATAATTTAACCATTTCGCATGGATATTACATTGCTCATGTATGAATTTTGTGTTGGCAATTGGTACTACCATTGATCTATCACTCCGTTCAATACCGAACATCAGATGTAGGGCTGCAGGGCCGTATCCAGAATTGCCATTGGAATAGTTTAATACCCTTGACAAACTGCATTAGAACATGATCTCAAAATTCCGCTGACTTTAGTCCTGAACTTATGTGATTTATCGAACTAGTAGTTTGGCTAGGCTAGGCTTAAGTTTAGACACTCAACAAATGAGAATAAAATTAAACAAATTGTGGCACAGACCCATGTCAAAATAAGACTGGGCTTTACCGATACATTATCTGGTTTTAGAAGGGTAGATAAAACATAATTAATTAATGTGTATGGACATTTGGGTTTTTATGTATCGAATTTACCTTCTCTTGCTGACACTAGCGACTTCTTGTAACTATATTGTTAACAATAAATATCACAATCCAACTAACATTTACATTTCAAAGACGTTTCGTTTTCTGGATCAATGAAAATATTGTGTCCATTCACAAAAAAAAGTTTTTAATTATATAACGTTTAGAAAGTTTTCTTTTATTGTTATCATTATACTATCCAGCAATTATAAAACATCAACAACCTTCGCGAACTGTGTTGTTAGGTATAATATCAGAAAGCAACGTTAAAGAATATAAATGACAATTTTTAACCAAATGGTTTTATTGCTGATTTTGTTTACTTTACGGGTTGCGAGGCATGTGTTGATGTTGTGTGGGTAAACAAATGATTTACCTTGGCTCATTTTGTAGTAATATAAACATTTAAGCATAGAATTATTGAATTAAAAAAAATGTGTACCCTATCTATTATACTGGATAAGAAAGATAATAGTAAAAGTAAAACACTGCCAGTTATGATTTTTTACACAAAGCCTACTGACAAAATCACAGATACCTAACTTTTATTAGCGCTCACCCCAGTAAACTCGGAAAATCCATAGTTTACAGTCAGGCGCTCAAAATTAAAAGAATCTGCTCCATCACTGCAGAATTTGATAACATATTAAAACACACTTATCGATAAATTAAAGCTTTGTCTACACTATCAGATCTCATAAAAAAAAGCGTTACATAAAATGTGATGGGAAATAAGAGTTGAAGACGTTCAACTTTTTTTTTTATACAATTTGATATGTGATATGACGTCATCATACCAATATATGGGCATATCACATTCTTTTTGTCACATATATTTTGATAGTGTAGACAAAGGAAAGCTTTGTCTACAACTCTCAAAGTTTATGTGACGAAAATAATAATAATAATAATAATAATAATAATAATAATAATAATAATGAAAAATCAACCTATTCATAAGAGAATTGTTGGAGTTGGTTTATTATATAGGTCTTATGTTTTTTTTCCAGTCGAGTGATTCTGTCTTGCCCTTTGTTTAGAAGACAATCCCTTTAATATTGCTTCTAATTCTGTTCTTACAAATATCACAAGTGATTCTATGCGATAGGTGTACATCGAGATTTTCACACTCTTTGATGATATGCTTTTAAGCATATTAAAATAGTTCTTTGCTATTGATTATATAGGAGATAGGAATTATTAACTTTTTCAACAAATACGTATACATGGTTCTACAAAAAACAAATCTCGTTTTGTACACCAAACTGTAACGTTATTATAACGCAAAAATGTTAGCTGGGGTTTTCCTTCTTAATTTTTTTTTGGTGTCTTCTACTGCTGACAGAAAACAGTGATGATTTTTTACACATCGTTGCAGCAACGTTGAGACGTTAATTACCTGTGAAAGTACGTTCTAACAGATAATAATGTTTAGTATCATAGTCAGCACCTATTTTGGTTTTCATTTTCATAGAAAAATGGGATCAGTGACTATATCCAGAGGATTTTTTACCTGCCTATTATGTTTCTCAACCTTGTCAACATGGGCTCTATGTTTTTTGATAATGATGTACCCTTCAGATCTATCAATTGTTATGAAACATAAAAGTTTTACAGAACCGAGTCAAACGAGAATGCCATCTTTGTAAGTAATAATTATATTCATTGAGATATTGGGATATAAAGGAAACAAGGGCTTATTTATGTTAATGTTTATAACAAGGTAATAAACAAATAGGTAGTACAGCATATGAATTAGTACAAAAGAAACAAAAATGCTTCTATAGGCATATTCTATATTGTACATCATGTTAGGTTCACAGTTACCGCTTATTTAAAACACATTTGGCAATTATACAACTATTACAAAATTGGCTACACACCACCAGCAAAATGGCGATGCCTAAAACATTTGTGAGATTACAGTCTTATGCAAATCTAACTTAGCAATAATAATAAAGATAAATACAGATGATAATAATAGTAATAATAATAATATCATTATCATTATTATTATCATCATTACTACTACATCATTATCATCATCATTATCATCAACATCATTAATATAAATAAGGAGAAATATTATTCATTTTTGTTAATTATTATTATTATTATTATTATTATAAATAAGGAGAAATATTATTCATTTTTGTTGAACCAATGTAAAATAGCAATATTACCTTTCTGCGTTTCGACCACTAATCCTTGTCAAGTGACGATGTTGTTTGGTCACTTTTCATCCTTTGATCATTTCTAAACTTTGTCCAGGCATCCATTATATCAAAGACGTGCCTCCTAAATAGTATTGTTATTACTATTATAATTACTTCATCTTATTTTCTTTTCAAATTTTACTATTTTCTCGTTATCATTATGATTATTATTATTATTATTATTATTATTATTATTATTATTATTATTATTATTATTATTATTATTATTATTAAATTTTTGACAGAACAACTCCAAAAAGTGATATTAAGCAGGTACTTGAAGATGAATTTGATAAGCACATTGACTTAGTAAAAATATTAAAATTGCGGTAAGAACTTTAATTTTGTTCTCATTCATTCAAATTTATTATGTTATTTATTTAATAATAATTATCGTTTTCTGTATACACTTGGGCCATGAAGACATAAAAAATGTCCGAATATCAAAATGAATATAGAATTCTTAAAATGTGTATGTAAAGATCTACTGTAGAAGATGCGTTTACACCAGCCCCGTAGATAGACTCGTTGATCGGAGGTGGGGTATTACCATTTTCCAAGGGGCCTAGGAATAAAAGGGCCCAAAATACCTCAGTCCAACCACGGTTGAAGCTGAACTTGAAAATAGCAGTTTTAGAAAAAAAAATCACGTTTTTCAAAGTAGGCCCCTATCTTAATTTGTTAGTATTGATGGTGTTCAATTGTAAATACATCAAATATGAGAGAATGGCAAGTACCAGGGAAGTCCACACCCACAGAAGTTCCCCATGAAAAAGAACAGAACAATGATATAACAACACTATATGCCCACAAATTGCATTCTCAGATTAACAAGTTTGGAATTGAGTATAAAATAAGGATGTAGCAACTTTAGTATCCTAGAAATTGCACTTTTTTTTATTTATTTATTTAGGCACACAATACATGTGCCAAGGATTGTCAATAGCGAATATATAACTGTCCTACTTGTAGGTGGCAATCCCTTTCACGAGACAAACATACACACACGATGCTTTACACAAACTAAATCTCAATGTGAGATTTAGGGAGTGGAGTTGTTTTGGTCGTGAGAAAAAATCCTGCAACACTGACAAGAATTGAACCCAGGACCCTGGGATTGGAAGGCAAGCATCTTAACCACTAAGCTATTCAATTCTACTCTAAGGGTTTTCAAACGCTTTCCAAACGGATACCGTACCTTGACAGTATTTCAATACACATTTTATTTTTAAATCTTTAAGAATATTTTATTAATTCTTTAATTTAATTAGTTTTTGTTTGTTAAGTGGTACCGTCGACGGATTTTTGCACAAACAACAACATGTGCAACCTGTTACCTAGGTCCTAGGAGGATGGGAATGTATTGGCACAAAATTATAGGAGGACGGCATGCCCCTCATGGCCCCTTGGATACCGGGCTGGTTCACACCAACATAATTCAATTCTCATTTTGATAATTCCCAACTAGAGTTTAGAATATAATGTTGACAGCTTCACTGGACTACAGCAGTAGTCCAAGTTAACACATACATAGATATGGTGTTCATAATAAAGTAAGTCCAGTTAACTTGACTACTGTACTATGAAAACCCAGTTAACTGGATTTAATTTTGATGTAAACCAGGTTTTGATGTTCCAGCTTTGAATATTGATACTGTGTTGTTGTTTTTAAATTTATGATTCTCCATGTGTCCTCTTATTAACTATTAAGTGGAAATTTCTTAACCACAGGGTACAGTACTATGGTGTTTACAATAGTCCAGTTAACTGGTATGAAAAACCTAGTGGTAACTGGATTCAATTTTGATGCTCTAGCATGGAGTATTTATTATGTATTATTTCTGTTATTATTTATTATCTAAGTTATGATTATATCTGTTTCTTCTCAGTAAATATTCAGTGGAAACATCACCATTATTAAGGATTTGACCTTCATGCTGCATTCACATCCTATCGAACCTAAATTTTGACCCGTCAGCGTTACTATTTTTACTCACTGATTTGATTTTGTTATCGATTCGGAGGCCCTCGGATCCTGAAATTTTGATTTTGAATGGAGCTAAAGTGTGTTTCAACCATGTTATATGTCAACACATACAATGTTTAAACCCGGCAAAGCCTAGGAAACATAATATTTTACCAACATCTCTCAATTTGTTTATTTGTAGGGCTAAAATAACCCGTCAAAGGTTGTCATCAAATATGACTATGTTGATACCTCCACACCAACAGGACGGTGGAAGGGTGCATTTTTACAGATCAAAAACAATGAAAACCCCACCTAAAGGACTACAATTTATCCCTCGGCAACGGACATGCGCTGTAATCGGCAATAGCGGTATTCTTCTGGGTAGTAAATGTGGTGCTGAAATCGATGCTCATGATTATGTGCTAAGATCAAACATGGCGCCGAGAAACAATTATACGGACGATGTAGGAAATCAAACTGACGTTATGACCGTCAATTCTATGGCAACGAAAGAAGCTTTGAAGTGTATCACGAATGAATCATCTTCTTGTTATTTCAAATATTTAGATACGTATCGTTACTTGAATGGTTCGATCCTCTGGTTCTCAAAATTTGGTGTATCAGCCAAGAGTCATTTTCAGTTTGTAAACTTATTTAGAAAACACAAGCTAAATATATTAATTGCTCATCCTTTCAAGCCTTTAAATGGAATGATTGCTAGGTGAGAATAATGTTCAAATTAATTCAGATGTTACAATTTAGTGTAGAACTAATACGTTAACATATAAATGTGGTGTAATGTTAAGACAACGTAATTTTCTGACATAACCACACCAAGTTCGCGAATACTATATTAATAGTGTTTCATTTTTTCTGGATATAAAATATAATGTGTGAAAGTACCTCATATCTCATAATTATCTTGGTTTTTTTGACATTTTTACAGTTTGTGGAATATGTTGAAGAAGAAATACAGTCCATCATCCGGCCTATTCTTATACACTGTGTCGGTATCTATTTGCGACAAGATATCCATGTATGGATTTTATCCATTTGGAACCGCTCCTGATGGCAGCGACTTACCATACCACTATTATAACGATAAATTTAATTCATTTAAGTCTGGTCATAACATTCCTTATGAGTTTCGTAAACTGCTTTCGTTGAGTAAACAAGGTTACTTTAGAATAGTGACTGATAAATGCGTTATTTAATAAATTGAATCTACAGTATTATATTTACATTTAGAGCAGTCACTCCATAGAGTGCATACGTCTGCCCTGTGCCACCTGAATGCTAATAATATGTTAGTTCTTCTTTATTTGTTTCACACTCTCAGATTAAAACAGAGACCAGCCAATTCTGGCTTATGATTATAATACAGGGTATTTTTAAAACACAAGCAAAAAACAAGATTAAAAAAGTTTTAAACACAAAATATACAAACATTTCCTAAAAATATGATTTATTTAAACACAATAGACTGCCGTAAGGAGAGGATTTGACAGGCAAATCTAGCTACCCTATAACAGTAGTTGCCATCGCTTATTGAAATACTGAATTTTTCATTAGAGGTTAAATCTGCAAAGGATGGGTTGATTTGAACAATATAATCGTACAGGTGGGATCTGAAATCATTGTATATTGGACATTCAGTAAAGCAGTGTAATTCATTTTCTATACTATTCAAGTTGCACAGACTCCATTTTTGGAGGTACTTTTCATACGTTGGGCTTCACAATAATGAGTTATTAAAAAGGGTTTGATACGTTTTGTGGTCTGCAAGTCTGTCTGATTTGTTCATTTGTCATTGTTTTATTAATAATTTAATACACAGCATCTGCAAACACAAATCTCAGGATACACATTGGGTGTAGGTACAACTGCAAGGTGGTTTTGGAATCATACTATGGGGTGCCATACGCAGCAAAAGTCCATGTTAAAATCAAAATGTAATTGCAAAATTCAATGTCTAAATTTATCAAAACGTAGGCGTAAATTTCCCAAAATGTAGATCTGGTTTCCCAAAATGAAGTTCTAATTTTTCAAAATGTAGTTCTAATTTCTTTAAAATGTAATTCAAATTCAAAACGTAGGTCTGAATTGATCAAATGCCCTCTCCAAATTCTATTCCAAAACGTAAATCAAAAACCAGCCTGGTTTGAAATGTATTTGACAACAACACTAGAAACGGACTTTTGCTGCGAATGGCACTAGACTTGCGAAATGTAAATCAAAACTAATCAGCCAAGCATGACGTGGGCCTGTTCCATTAATGATGGGGGAATCATT